CCTGCAGGCCGCCATTGTCTAACTGGAAAACTCGTTCAGCCATTAGCACCGTATCCAAGCGGTGAGCGATGATTAGCACCTGCTTATAGAGCAGATCGAAACAGATTTACGCTTTGTTTGTGGAAAAACATTTGTTTGCATTTCCAATAATTGTTTAATCACGCAAATTGACTTTGAGAACACTGAAGTTTATGGCTACAGTTGGATGACATTTTCAAAATGCTAAAGCTAGAGCCAAATGGAGCCTAAGACCCTTTTTTTGTCTGAATCTGCTTGATTTTTTGAACGGGAAACGTTTGGAGACATAGATTTCAGGCAAGTAAGTCATTCAAAAGCTTATTGTTTTGGTTATTCAGATAAAACTACGTGCCAAACAGAGCCATAATGAGAATGAAGTGCGGAAGGGCGTGGTTTGAAAATGAAAAAAAAACTTACAGTGCGATTTTGCATCAGACGCTGTAGAGCTTGCCTCACCAACAGCTCTGATCTGCTATCTAATGCAGAAGTTGCTTCATCCAGAATTAGAATGGAAGGATCTTGGTAAATTGCTCTTGCAATAGCTATTCTGGGAAAAGGGAAATATACAAACATCGCCTCTCAGTTATGCCACTAAACCATGAATTGTACTCCCATTTTGGTTATGATCACATGATCCACATTTACAGATTGTGAAATGTGTTCTAAAAAACCCCACTTGCATGTTAGGCTTCACCAGACCACCTACTTGTCTTTCCAAGACAGTGAAGCTACGCTCTTTAAAAAAATAAAAAACTAAGAATATCTGTTTTCAGCGAAGCCCACACAATTTTTTTTGCGGCCACTTCCTAAGAGACACATTCTGAAGGGATTAGATACAAACTTAAATTCAAGGCAGATTTTGGACATGGTTGAACACCAATGGGGCTCGCGTAGGTCAGTCTACCCCCCGTGTCGTGCCTAGTACTTTTTAAAGCATTATTTAGAAATAGTCCCAAGTTATACATACCTTTGCTTCTGACCTACACTAAAGACTGAGCCCCGGGGGCCAACGCTTGTTTGATATCCATTGGGCAGTTTCCCAATGAACTCATCAGCATTGGCAGTTCTGGCTGCAGCTTCAACTCTATCCATATCAATGCTAGTCATTCGATCCCTATACCCAATGTTCTCAGCAATAGTCCCAGAAAAGAGTGTCTAGAAAATACAAGAATGTCAATCAACCATTAAATTTGTTCGTGCAGCGTGACTTTAGAATATAATGTTGATATTATAAAACACCCTAAACCCCTTATCCAGAGTCCAAAGTATAATGACCAAGCTTAGGTTTGGCTACAATGTATTGGACCCCTCTGGAAAGGGTCATTTGAATGAAATAACTAAATGTGATAAATTTTCTGGAAATATTTGTTAATTTATACATTTCAGCCAAATAAGTCAAAAATGACTTATTGTGCTGATTAGCAAAATAAGCTGATAGGAGCTGCCAAATGGAACCTCAATGAAGGATGTTTAACCAAAACATGCTTACTAAAAATAGTACTATGTTTGTCAATGCAGCTTCATAAGTGTTTCAAAAGCTTTATCGAAAAGCACATTTGGAAAACATCTTACCCACATGGTAAAGCATTTTTGCTCTTATGGAAGTGGTTTTCACCCTTTCCAGGAGGGTATCCAAATAAGCAGTAATATTAGTTTACAAAAACACCTATAAATTATAATAGGGGGTAACTTACAATATCTTGAGAGACCAGACCAACATGTCTCCTCAAACTATCCAGTTGAATATTTTCAATATCAAAGCCATCAACCTGTATGGTACCTGTAATGAAATAAAGAAGCAAACCATCGTCAAGTTACAGACAAATAAATAAATAAATAATCAAAGACTTTTCCAGTTTTATAATTATGGAGTATGTCATAAATTGATACATACCACTTAATATTTCAAGGTTTTTTGAGTACAAATTACAGTGAAATAAATATTAATGATAACTTAGTCATTCTACTGTGTTTTACTCATTGGTGAAAGATGTTTCATGTTTGCGAACAAAATGTCTTTAGTTATGGATTAAGAACAGAGGGAGATAATCCATAATAGCAGATAACACACCTTGAAGAGGATCATAGAGGCGAAGGAGGAGTTTTACAATAGTGGTCTTTCCTCCACCGGATGGTCCAACAAGAGCAACTGTCTGTCCAGCTTTAATATGAAAATTTAATCCTTTCAAAATGAGTGGCCCATTCTCTCCGTATCTAAAAGATATATCAGAAAAGTTTACTTCTCCAGCAATGCAGTCCAAGTTTACTACATTTTGTTGATCATCCACCTAGTTTTGTTCAGATAAAACAGACCAGCAATTTTTTAGTAACAACGAGGTGGGTGGGGCTGTACGCAACAAAAGATGACTGACTATATAAAGTTTAAGTGCACCAAAAAGTACTCTTATTTACTTGTCCAGTCCTCCCATCATAATTAATCAGGGTAAATGTACCTTAGAAAGACTACCTTAGATTTGAAACTTGTCAGACCAAACAAACGCTGAATAGCCGGTTCTCCTTGTTTTATTTCATTGTAGGCTCTTCCGACGTCCTGCATAGACCTTTAAATTCATACAACTTATTGGAGAATGATCTCAACCCTTAATAAGATATTGGATTTGCAAAATTAAGTTCAATATACATAAATATCTATGGACATCATATTGAATATCTATGTGAGAATTTTTTTGAAAAATGACAGAATCCTTATTGAGAGGTTGGAAATTTGAAATGAAAGTATAATTTTTTAAAAAAACTCTAATACATCAAAGTGAAAAAACCCTTATGGAGAATGATAAAACATCCAATTATCCAATGACAAAGGTGTTAATAAGAAACATAGAAACCAAAATTGAACCATAGATTTGATAATGCAGAGCATATAATGCTTAAAATCCCAAATTACTCATCATTAAGTAAATACAATTACCTGAATTGGCTGAATTAACAAAACCAGTGACGTCACGAAAGAAACCATGGCAGAACAATCAAAAGATCCTCTTGAAATAATCAGCGAGGTAGCACAAAATGTAAATAAGATCCCAAAGTACACTGCTTGCACCAACTGTGGAATAAATGCCTTCATTCTTTTCCTTTCTAAACTTGCTAATAGATCATCTGAAGCAAGGGACTCAAACCTAGAATTTTCATAGCTTTCTGCATTATTTGCCTTCACAAAAAGAATTGATGGAAGTACCTACAGAAAGGACAGTTTGTTTCTATGTAAAACATAAGAAAAAATGCTTCCTTACAAGTAATCTACTCGTCTAATGTAATTAGAGTGTGATTTTGCAGGACAGAAGATACTCAAGAAACATCCACACGATAATGAAACTAAGGTCAAATACCCAAGAATGACCCCAAACTGTTAATAAAAACTCGAATGAACCCCGAACTCTTCAGACTTTCTCTTTAGCCCTTGTAGTAGCTATAGCAACTCATTAATGACCCTGAATTTCCACACAACAAAAGCAAAGCAAACTCTGACATGCTGTCAATGTAGACACTTTAAACACAGACATGATTAGATGTGCGGAGGAAGCCGTTAGTAAAGATAAAATCTACTGCAATCTCAAAAAAAACAAATTTCGAATTCAAACTTTTTTATACAATTTGGTCAAACGCTTTGGTTGTATAATGTGTGTTTTTTGTATCTGGAACTGATCTTATCATAGGTTATAGCTTTCTTCAAGTGTCTAACCCCATTTCAGTTTTGTGGTGCCTGTATATATACGAATTCCTGAAGTCAATCGACACTTTTTCAAAAGTTCAAGATCGTTTTAGGTAGTTTAGGTTGTCTGAAAAGTTTAGGATCAATCAAAGTCTTATGTTTAAAGTTCCGGGTATTTTTCTTTTTGTTATCTGACCAAAATAAAAGAACAAGGAGTACCTCATGGAGGTAGGCAGATAGACCAGCAACGGTAAGATGTGCTTGATTGGATAGATGGCGAAGCTTTTCACCGAGGTAACCAATGACAAAAACCATCAGTGGAATCACCTTCAAAAATTCACCAGAAATCATCTACTTGATGGCTCTTGAATAACCCAAATTAGGTTGAGGAAACAAAAGGGAAATAGCAAACATTAACTCTTTTTTTGTTCTTTCTCACCAATGCTGAAATTAAAGACAGACTAGGACTGATTGCCAACATCTGAGATGCCATTGCTAATAGCTGTAAGGTGCAGGGTACAATTGTCTGTGATAAAAGTGGATTAGAAATTAGAATGTCAAGAAAAAGCAAGGAAAGGAAAACCCAGATAATCAAAGTATAGATAAAAGCAGAACTCACATTCAGGAGAGAATAAACAGTATCTGCAACATCAGAAGCCTCTGCAGTGATCCTATACGCTATATCGCCCGAAGCAACCCCACTCTCGCCTTCAAAGAATCCCAAATCCCTTTCCAAAACCTTCCGGAACACGAAAACTCGAACCTTATATGCAGAGCTCAGCGATGCATTCCAGAGGAAATCCTGTTGGAGGTAGTTGGAGACGAGTCTAACCAGATACAGAGCCCCCAAGATCAAGCTCCGCTCCTTCATCTTCATGGCGTCTGTTGGGGTCATCAACGCAGAGAGCTCCCCGATGGCGGGGACGAGTTTGGAAAGACAGTAAACGGAGACCGAACTGCAGGCCCACCCGCAGAGGATCGGTTGCCATTCGGACTGGAAGTAGGGTTTGAGGTGGGAAAGAGAGGTGGCGCCGGCGCCGGAGCCAGAGGAGGAACAATGAGTTCGGGTGAAGATGGGTGGTTTGATCGGGATAACTATCTGGCGGAGTGCGGCGGATTTATGGTTGCGGAAGGAGGGAGTGTAGGCGGCGTACGGCGGGCGCAGATGGAGAACCATTTTTCCCGTGGGTATAAAAAGAGGCGGTTAACAACCACTTTCGCGCTAATAGCTCTTTATCATCGATCAGAAAATTAGGCACTCTTGCGCCAATAAAACGCTGACACGTGAGCATATGAACAGTCATCTTCTCCGCACCACAGCTAAAACCGCCGCCGCCGCCCCATGGAACGCCAAGCTGCAGGAGCTTTCCAGACAAGGTCAATTCCAAGAAGGCTTGTCGCTTTACCGACGAATGCTCCGATCCAATGCCTCCCCAAACGCCTTCACATTCCCTTTCGCTCTCAAGTCCTGCGCCGCCCTCTCCCTCGATCTCGCCGGCGAACTTCTCCATTGTCACGTGGTTAAGTCCGGGTGTGAATCCGAGCCGTTCGTACAGACGGCGTTGATCTCCATGTACTGCAGATGCGGGCTGGTAGAGGACGCCTACAAGGTGTTCGACCAAAATCCTCACTCAAGAAAACTCGCAGTGTGCTACAATGCTTTGATCTCTGGGTGCGTCAAGAACTCCGATTTCAGGAATGGGGTTTTCTTGTTTCGTGAAATGAGATCGGCCGGAGTGGCGATCAGTGCTGTCACCATGTTGGGTCTGGTTTCCGGCTGCAATGCTCCCATGTTTCTTGACATCGGCATGTCCTTCCATAGCCTGAATGTGAAATGTGGTTTGGACACATATTTGGCCATTGTAAACTGCATCTTGACAATGTACCTTAGGTGTGGGGCAATTGAACTTGCAAGGAACCTCTTTGATCACACCTCCAAAAAGGATGTGATCACTTGGAATGCTATGATCACCGGGTACGCGCAAGACGGGCGCGCTCCGCAGGTCTTGAAACTATATGAAGAAATGGAAACCTCGGGACCACGTCCCGATCAAGTGACATTCGTCGCGGTTTTATCCGCGTGTGCTGATCTCGGCGCTAAGAAAACTGGTTCCGAGGTAGAAAAGAGGATCGAGTCCCGCGGGCCCGCGTTCTCCAATACCTTCTTGAAGAACGGTTTGATCAACATGTACGCCAGGTGTGGTGGAAATATTTGCACTAAATAGCATTAAAACTTAAGTCATTTTCCTAAATAACACTTAAATTGCTTTATTCCATAAATAACACTTAATAATGTCCATAATGCCCAGTGATGGCGAATATTTACTTGAATAATGACTAATGCATAATGACTAAAAGTGCTACATTGGGAAGAAAAACAGATGTAGTGCTATTTAGGGAAAGTCATTATGTTTTAATGCTATTTAATTAAATTCCTCAGGTGTGGTGACGTGGCGAGAGCCCGAGGCATATTCGACGACACGCCAGAGAAAAACCTGGTGACGTGGACTTGCATGATCGGCGGGTACGGAACGCACGGGCAGGGAGAGACCGCCGCGCGACTGTTCGACGAGATGATAAGCTCGGGCACTCGGCCCGACAAAACCGCCCTCGTCGCCGTAGTATCCGCGTGCAGCCACGCGGGACTAACCGAACGCGGCTTGAGCTACTTCTCCATGATGAAAACGGATTTCGGGCTGGAACCGGGCCCGGAGCACTATTCTTGCGCCGTGGACCTACTAGGCCGCGCGGGCCGTCTGCAAGAGGCCTACCAACTCATTCTCGGCATGAAAGCAACCAAACCGGACGGCGCGGTCTGGGGGGCTCTCTTGGGCGCGTGCAGGATCCACAAGGACGCCGAGCTAGCCGAGGTGGCATTCGACAACGTCGTCCAAGTGGACCCCATGAACACGGGGTACTACGTCCTGTTATCTAACATCTACAACGACGCAAAGGATCCAGACGGCATGCAAAGAGTGAGAGCGTTGGTGAGGGAGAGGCGGCTGAAGAAAGATCCGGGGTTCAGTTACGTCGAGATCTACGGGAAGATTCATCTCTTCGTGGCGGACGATGAGAGCCATTCTCACCTGAGAGAGATACACAACGTGCTGGATAGACTAGTCGAGGACGACGAAGAAGAAGAAGGAGAAGGAGAAGGCACGGCGAGGCGGCATAGCGAGAGGCTGGCGGTTGGGTATGCGGTCTTGAACACGGAAGCGGGGGAGGAGGTAATGGTCATAAAGAATCTGAGGATATGCAGAGAGTGCCATAAGTTCATGAAGAAGGTGAGCAGAAAGTTGGAGGACAGGTTGTTTGTTGTGAGAGATGCCACTCGGTTCCACCATTTTAGGAATGGGACTTGTTCTTGTCATGATTTTTGGTGATTCATTTATGCAAGTTATATTTAAGCTAAGGACGATTGTTTTCATGTAATGAGTTTCAGTTATGTTTTAGTATTAGATGTGTAAATTGTTCATCCAGACTGAGATACATGGGCATCTCCATGAAATCAACGTTTTTTTAAGTTAAAAGAAAAAAATTATGCGTTTGCTCTTGTGAAATGAATTTTTGAACAAACTTATTTCTGTTACATGTTTTATTTTTCACCGGAAAGTGTTTAATTTTTAATATTTTTCATAAGTTTCATTAAATGTGTGTTTGGTTGGTGGAACAAATTGTAGAAAAATTTTGATTTTTTTTGCAGTGTTTGGTGACATTAACGGGAAAATAAATATTTTTGGGGAAAAATATTTTCTCCCACTAAGGAAAAATTTTTTATTTTATATTTTTGGGGAAAACTTTTGATTTTATTTTGTAGTGGTTGGTGATACTCCTTACCTCGGCCCACATGTACTTCCACGCTCATCCACCTCATATTCCTTCTATTTTGGTGAGAAAAATGAGAAAAAATCGTTTTTTCCCATCTTCCCGAATTCCTTGAACAAAACATAATATTAATATCTTGCAGAAGCATTTGTTCTCGATGACGGACTATGCGAAAGACATTACCGGCACTATAACTATATATCACAAACACTGAATGAATGTCGAATTATTTTGTTGAATGTGCATCTAGGGGTGTTCATTCGGTAAAACCGAACCGAACCGAACCGAAATTTCGGTAATTTATTTTTTGTGCCGAATACCGAACCGAAATCAAATGGTTCGGTTCGGTAAAAACCAAATTAATTCGGTTTGGTAATCGGTTTTACCAAAAACCGAACATAAACCAAAATTTGAACTTTAAAAAATTCATTTCATTCTCCAAATTACACCTTCCCTTCAGTCAAGTACAAAATTTGCTTCCACTTACTCCAAATTCAAATATCAGAAATCCGGTTGGTAGCTTTTGAGCCAGAACAACGCTGCACCCTTCCTCATTATTAAATCGTTATGAAAGTTTTCTTTCATGATTTTCAATTTTAAATAACTCCAAATTTAGATAATAGGATTTAAAATTAGTGGAGTGGATATTCATTATTTCAATATTGGGATAGATATTGAGAATTGAATTGAGTAGCCATGGATGAAATTATACATAAGTATTAAATAATTTCGGTATTCGGTTTTTACCGAAATACCGATTCCAAATTTTGTACCGAACCGAAAACCGATTTTTTCAAAAGATGAGAACCGAATACCGAACCGAATTATTCGGTTTGGTTTTGGTACGTACCAAATTTTTCGGTTTCGATTCGGTTCGGTCGGTTTACCAAATTGTGCACACCCCTATGTGCATCCTCTGAATAACCTACAAGTTGGACGTTGAGCCATAAATAACCTCGGCCGAATGAATAGATATTATTAATTACTCCCTCGGTCCCTAACAGGATAAAGAACAGGTGGTCCGCAATCTTTTTGTTCTCTACAATCAAATTTTAATCACTCATTTTTCATTTTTTAAACACCTTTTTTAAACATCATGAAGTGAAAGTGAGATGGTTTTTGGGAGGGGAGAATACTATTTATCAAATCATATAGAGAGTATTATCTTTCTTTAACTTATTTTCATTGACCATTTAATAAAGGAAAAATTACTCAAAATAATTCCAACTTTGCCCGATCTTTCAAAAATAATCTCACCTTTCACTATGATGCATAATAATCTCAACTTTACTAAAATTTTCCAGTTTTGGGTCGCCGTTAAGTTTCTAACGGAGGGTTAACGGAAATGCCCGTTTTCGGCAACAAAATGAAAGTTGGGATTATTTTTGATGAATTTTCATTTTTTTAATTTTTTTTAAATTTTTCATTTAAATTTTTTAAATTACTTTCTACCTCCATCATCATATCTTTTTCCTTATTTAAAGATTAGTCTTAGTTTAAAAAATAAAAATAATAGATATAAAAAAAGAAAAAATGAGAAATGTAACTAAAATGATACAAAAATAATAAAATAAATAAGGTAATCAATGGAAACTAACTTGAAATTGGTAAAAGTAAAATAAAATTATATGGGTGGGTTTTAATATTTTACGCATTATACAAAGTATTAACATATCACTTCTTATTTTTTAGAAAAAATTATCTACAATAATTCTAACTTTACCGGACGATTTGTTCTTTTAAAAAATAAGTAGTACATTAAGACTATGTATAGTGTGTAAAATGTTAAAACCCACCACTCCGTATATATTTATTTTATTTCTTACCAGTTTCTGTTTAATTTCTATTGATTACATTATTTATTTGATTAATTTTGTATGGATTTAGTTATTTTTCTCATTTTCATTATTTTTTATATCTATTTTTTCTAAGGTAAGAATAATCTTTAAAAAAGAAAAAGAAATGGAGGTTGAAAGTAATTCAAAAAATTTAATTAAAAATTTCAAAAAAAAAATTAAAAAAAAATTCATCAAAAATAATCCCAACTTTCATTTTGTTGCCTAAAACGGGCATTTCCGTTAACCCTCCGTTAGAAACTTAACGGCGATCCAAAACTGACAAATTTCAATAAAGTTGGGATTATTATGTATCACAGTGAAAGGTGAGATTATTTTTGAAAGACCGGGTAAAGTTGGGATTATTTTGGATAATTTTTCCTTTAATAAAACATTGTGCAACAATGGTCTTGCCCTTGATTTAGGACTTGTTTGGATGTTGGCTGTCAGCTGTTGGCAGTTGGCAGTTCGTGCCAGCTGTTGTGAACGGCTGTTTAGTTTAGCTGGTTTGACTGGCAGAATGAATTGGCAGATCGTTAAAAACGTTTGGCAAAACTAGCTGTTTGAAAATAGTTTTTCATATATAAATATATATACACACACACGATATTTATTTTTCATTTTTTTACATGAAAAAATTAAATCTTTACTATATGGAGTATTAAATTTTAATTTCATTTAATTCATAATAAATTATTAATATAAATTTTTTAAATGATTTTTTCTTTTTATTTTCTCATTTCATTTTATGAAATTTTTAAATTTTAAATTTTATTCCGAACCATTTGAAAAAAACAAGACAAAATGTGGGACTGTATAGAACTCGAACCGTCCAAATCTGTGCTCATTTCTAAATTTAACTATATAGTACTAAAACATACTCCCTCCGTCCCAAAAAGTTTTTCCTGTTTCATTTTTTGCGCATCCCATAAAACACTTCTACTAACATCTAAAATGCCTAAAATTTACGACATTTCTTCTTTATTGTGGGTAGAAGTTATTTTGAAAGTTTTTTTGGCATTCAAGGCGGGATAGAAGTGTTTTGTGGGATGCACAAAAAATGAAACAGGAAAGACTTTTTGGGACGGAGAGAGTAATATAGTAAATTTTCCAATATAGTACCATATATTTAAATTTTTGAATGTAGTACCATGGTTCAATGTCTACACGACATTGTTTAAAGCCCCGTTTGACATCATCTTTAGAAATTAGCGTTAGCGTTTTGAAAAAACTATTCAATGGTAGCCGTAGCCTTTAGCGTTAACATTTTCAGAATTAATCTATACCGTTAAAATTTTATCCAAAACGCTAAAGCTATTCGAAAATGTTATTCCCAAACAAGACCTAAGTAAATGTGTACCATTAGTAGACATTGTTTAAAAGAAATGTTCATCACCACAATTAGACATAATTCCTGCCACTGGACATTATTCAAATACTTTTTAGAGAATAAAAATTTTTAAGTATTACATTTAAAAAAAGATACTCCCTCCATCCCCAATTTGATTACAAATTGGGGTTTACGAAGAGAAAAAACTCACTTTCTAAAATCATTTTATTTACAAATTGGTATATCGATAAGAAATTACTGTACATATTAAAAATTACGTCAAAAATTTTACAAAACAAGCGGTGATAAGAATATTTTATTTTATTAAATACTTAATGAAATTACATAAACAAACAACAGTTATCGAAGGAGAGAAAAAAATTTGTAATCTAATTAAGGACGGAATGAGTATGTTTTAGACTTTTAGTACTCTTTATTGTTTATGATGATGGGTACGTGGAATACACCAAAAGTCTCTTCATGCGATCCACTAACTCCTGCATTTGCTCCCTCGAATGGAGAGGCGACGGGTACACGCACGCGCAGTCAAGTTCTCCGTCGATCACGGCGTCAAAGATGGCCATCGACGGCCCCACACCGTGAACCGACGAGCAGCCCACGAAGTCCTCCAGCCCAACGATGTCACGCCGGATGTCGTACACCACCGGATCCTCGAACACCGTCAGCACGGAGCTCCTCATCGCCGACGACGCCGTCAGGCTCGGGTTGTCGATGGCCTTGCACATCAGGAAGTTGAGGTCCGCCATGTCGGAGAAGTGTTTGTTGGATTTCTTGGAGGCGGAGAAGGCGGCGTAGCTCGCCTTTGCCAAGTCCCATAGCCTTTCTCCGCCGCTCACGATGTGCACGTTCTGCACTGCTGAGTGGTAGAATCCTGATCCATATACTTTATAAATGAAATTTGTAATAAATAAGTACTAAAGTATATACTCCCTTCGTTTCTAAATAAATTACAATTTTTTTTCTCTCTTCTAAATAACTTTTCTTTGTTTACGCGATTTTATTAAATATTTAATAAAATAAAATATTCTTGTCAACTCTTGTTTTGTAAAATCTTTGACGTAGTTTTTTAATATGTAAGTTTTATATTTTATTGATATACCAATTTGTAAATAAAATAATTTCAAAAAGTAGAAAATTTTACTCCTTAACCCGCAATTTGTAATCAAATTGGGGACGGAGGGAGTATTTGTTTCCAATATAATACTTAAAATTTTTTATTCATTAAATAATACTCCTTCCGTCCCTAAATAAACTTCCATTTTTGACTTTTTGAAGATTTAAGGGAGGGATATTTTTGTGTTGACTTTCCAAAAATACCATTGATGTGATGTGTAAAAGTAAGATGTGATAGGTACCAAACACGTCGCTGAATTTGAAGCTTTGAACCCAAAACCGAAATCATCACTCCTCTCTCAATTGTTCGTCTTCTTGGTGGAATCCAAAATCGAAACCAGTAACGTTCATGGATGCATTTTAATGTTTGTTTTTTTTTTTTGCATTTTTTTGAGACTAACTCATAAAACTCATCCACGAAAGTTATTGGTTTCGACTTTAGGTTCTACCAGGAAGAAGAACAATTAAGAGAGGAGTGATCATTTCGGTTTTGGGTTTAGAATTTCAAACTCAGCGACGGCTTTGGGAAAAGAGTGCGAGAGAAAGGAGGAAGCTTAATTGAGAAGAAAGAGGTGCGTGAATTTACAATTTTATCCATATTTTTAATAGAAATGTTAACAAAGGACCATTCGTGGAAAACAATATAATAAATGGGGACTAAATTATTAATATTTGATATGTAGGAATTAAATATGTAAAACGAATTACAACTAGAGACCTTTTTGAAATTTATTCAAAAATTTTCTATGAAACTTTTTTAATAAATGAAATACTTTTTGATATTATAGCATACAAATTTTATTTAATTAATGATTAATATTTGTGTACATTGATTTAAAAAACCAAACAAGAAAACACTTTGGATTAATACAAGCTAAGGTTAATTACCAAAATGGTGAGCGGAGAGAGGGTAATTCAGAATTGAACGGCAGTCGGTGAGGGTCACTACCCCATACTTTTTCTTCTGATGATCCGGTTGGGATTTGGAAGACATGGCAGCGGCGGCCAGTAGTCCCGCCGCCGTTAAAACTCCGCATAGCTTGATCCCAACAGATTTGCAACCCTATCCAACATGCATTTAAAAAAACATATGATATCGCAGCGATTCCATACGCACTTGCTTACGGAGCCACGGCAGCTCCATGTTAGACATTAATATTGAGTATTCCTACTTATAGTAGAAGTTGTATTTTAGTTAGTTTCCGTTCTTTATTCCTAATTGTGTTAGAAGTCTCTGCTATATATATACTCTATCATGTACTTTATAATTCAAGAGAGCAATATTATTATTCTAATATTTCAACACTGCCACTGCATTTTTTGAAACACGTCTGGTGTTCCGTTCGCAAAATTGATGATTCCTACCCTTAACATATATATACCTCACCCTTAGCCCCTATCTCCTCTAAATGTGTGATTATTATGCATTGCATTATAGCGACACATTTGGAGAGGGCAACGTTTCCATAGGCACTTGCTTACAGAGTCACTGCCGCGGCCACTGCATTTTTAGAACGCTGTTCAATTCGCAAAATTGATGATTCCTACCCCTAACATCTAACCCACCCTCAGGTCCTATCCCCTCCAAATGTGTGGTTATTATGCATTGCATTGCATTACAGTGACACATTTGGAGAGGGTAGGGCCGGGGTAGGAGTACAAAGACGGGGCTGAGATCAGTGGTAGGTCTAGAAATTCTGTTAGATACTTAGATGAGGGCACCATGGTCTCGAGTTCAAGGGCAATACCATAGATTTTTTTAATAGGCTATATGAAATGACAAAAGATATATTGAATTTTATTTCAAGACAATAAAATGGCTACCGAAGCGTACCCTAGTCATATTGCCACAAAGACAATAATATGGTCGATCATATGGAACAACTAGTATTAACCCCGTGCTTCGCACATGCTCGTAAACATTCTAGTTTTTATTTTCATTACTAATTTGATAAAATAATATAGTCATATCACCTATAATTTTTTTAAACTTTTGATGCAGTTTTAAATATAAAAGTTTTGTTTTTAAATTTTACACTTAATAAAAAAAATTAAGGGGAGTGAAAAAAAAGCACATTCACTACTTACGTCAAGTATCTTTGAAGTGTCATTTTGGTTCATTTGAAGCCTCACCACACGAGAGCTTCTGGGCCCTTTTACGTCTTTAAACCTCAAATTGGTCAACAAAAACGAGTTAACCGAATACCCAAGCATGTCCAGCCCATGAGCCCAAAGCCTCTTTTTTGACTTTTCAACGGGCACAACATCCTCGATTCCAAAACTACCCTCCCCTTCGTTCTTTATTCCTTTCAGTGTCCCCTCCACCACCACCTCCATCAGCTCCCTCAGCAGCGACACCGCCGTGGTACGGTCACACACCGCCGTGTGGAAGCGGAGCACCACCGCTTGCTTCCCGTCCGGCAGCGCATAGGCGGTGGCGAACACCACGTCGACGCCGGAAGGCGGGAAAGATGCGGGGTCCGCCCAGTCTGCGTTGTCGCTCAGTTCGCGTTCCAGGATTTGCTGGAAAGGAGAGAGGGAAACGTCCGAGGAATCCGACGGGGGACCGGAGGGTTTGATTCTGACGATACTGGCGGCGGAGGCGACGGCGGTGGTGGTGAGGGAGAAGGTTTTTGTGGAGGGGTTGTAGTGGAGCTTGGACCTGAGGATGGGATGGGCATTTATGATCTTGGGGAGGGCATTTTGGAGAACACACGCGGCCGCCGACGAGGCGTGGAAGGCCAAGACCGTGATGCCGGTGCCGGCAGAGACCGCCCTGCACCAGCTGTGCTCTGTTCCCCCAAGAACCCTTTCCTTCTTCTCATCAACATGCTTTTCTTTGAGGTGCTTACTAAAAGACATATTTGACCTCTAAGTGTTTGTGAATGGTGTTATATATGGTTCTTGGTGTGGTGTTTTGAACGAATTTATAAATGAAGTGCCTCCATAATATAAATCACTTCTTTCATATATAGGGAGTATGGTACTTGCATGAACTTAAACCATAATGTTTTACCACTGCAAATCTTATAGCTAAATTTTTAATTAAAAAGTGTAAGGGGTCTATGTTTACGGTGGTCTTGTTTGAAACATTAATTCTGTCAACGCTATATATTAATGTAAGATAGTATTTTCAAAATACTAACGACTAACGCTAATTTCCAATACTGATCGATGCCAAATGAGGCCCAAATAAATTAATTTTTGTACCATTCTCCATATTATATAGCCCTTCTGTGCCTCAGTTCCAATTTAATACTTTGATCATTAATATTAATATTTATATATATATAGATATATTTTATTAAAAGTGAATATTTCAACACTAAGTTTCAAAAGGAAATTGTTGATATCACATTAATATCGAAACACAACGTATTTTTTACACATATCGAAGTCAAAGTTTACAAACCTTAACTAAGAAAAATCAAATGAGAAAATTATTTCCATACATAGAGAGGTCGTGAGGAAACCTAATTTGGCTAATTAGTATGGAAGAAGGACTAAATTAGGAGTACACTAAACATAAAGAAAATATCAAAATAAGCGTTCCATATTTTTATCTTAAAATAAAAGTAGAATGCCAATATATAGTACTAAGAAATATATACTTAGATACCTCAATATAGTATCATAATGTCATAGTGTAAATTCTTATTACAAGATACAAATATAGAATTTCTATTCAAAATAGGAAGAGTTTTTGAAAGAGATTAAGGAGAAACTATAGAATTCCTATTCAAACATACCTCTATCAGTATGTTTTATTCTTATTTGTACTTATTTCGTAATTATTATGGAGGAAAGAGATTAAGAAGAAAATAACAATGAAGTTTTTGGAATTTGGGCTGCTGGGCCCTAGAGAATGACAGTACGTCGACCAACTAAAAAAGAGAATTAGAGAACAATAAAAGCCCATTGATAAATAGTTTGGACTCCATGGCCAAAGAATGGAAAGACCAATTTTATTTTAAAACAGAAAAAAGTTAATTTTATTTTAAAACTATTATGACTTTCTTGTATATTAAAAAAGTTAAATTAAATGAATATTATTATGGTGTATATCCATATTTATTGAATGTTCGGTGTATCTCAAAAGTTATAATGGTCCATTAATAGTTACCAGAACTGGGGCATGAGAATGAGAAAAATAAAAAGATTCTAAAAACATTTTTCCATACCTTTTTTTTTGGAATACCTTTAATGTAAATTTTAAGTTTTAATGACCATTTTTATAACACTTTCACTATTAAAATATATATTTAAACATTCAAAAATTAATTTTAAAAATATAAAATAATTAGAAGAATGAAGATATAGCAATAGGTGAGAGGGTAAATACTCCCTTTCTCTATTAAAAAAATTTTTAAAACTAATTTTTTCAGTTATATTGACCATAAATTATAAAAAGAATGTTTAACAATAATACAAATTTAATATACTCAATACTACAAAGTACACAGTACTTTTAATGAAGTATTAGATGGTGATCCAATAAAGTGTTATGAGAGTCAACTCAATGATACTCCCTCCTCTGTTTCTTAAAACCCTTCCTCTTTCATTTTTTTTGTTTTTCTTAAAACACTTCCCTTTTCTATTAAAAAACCACTTTTACCCCTACTTTTTCATACCCTAACTACCACATCATACTTTTTCACTAACAACTAAACTATCACATCATACTTTTTCACTAACAACTAAACTATCACATCTTACTTTTACCCATCACATCAAAGGCAAAATTGGAAAGTCAACTACAATTTAACACTTCCTTATTTTCCCCCAAAGTCAAAAGAGGAACTCTTTTAAGAAACGGATGTAGTATTTATCAATACTCAAAAGTTGTGACTCTCACATCGATATAAAATTAGAACCTTCTTCACCTCCATGGTGAGGGATGTTTCGCTTTGATTGGATATATACTACTTCATTCGTTTCAATTTAAGATGCATGTTTAACATACGGATGTAGTATTTATCAATACTCAAAAGTTGTGACTCTCACATCGATATAAAATTATGAACTGAAACGAGCTATATAAATTGTAAGCGAGGGAGTAGTTGATAGATTGGTGGAGTATTTATTATGGTACGTAAGGTTAGTTGCAAAATAAGGCACGCACATGGTTGGCTTCGCTTGGTGGAAGTATTTACACTTATTTTCACGAAAAAAGGAAACAACGGAAACAATATATCTCATCGGTTAAGCTCAGATGCTGTAGTGTGTACTTTGAGGAAATGGCTTCTACTACCTCCGTTTCACAAAAGAGTTCTTCTTTTGACTTTGGGGGAAAATAAGGAAGTGTTAAATTGTAGTTGACTTTCCAATTTTGCCCTTGATGTGATGGGTAAAAGTAAGATGTGATAGTTCAGTTGTTAGTGAAAAAGTATGATGTGATAGGTAGGGTATGAAAAATTAGGGGTAAAAGTGGTTTTTTAATAGAAAGGGGAAGTGTTTTAAGAAAAACAAAAAAAAAATAAAAGAGGAAGGGTTTTAAGAAACGGAGGGAGTATAAGAATTGGAGCTAGCTGGAGCAAAAAAATGCTTTAGATATATAACATGAAAAAAATTACTCAAAAAAAATGACACATTCATTAAAATCTTTTTACCAAATTAAAATAGGTTACACGAAAGAAATTCTTGGATTGTCTAAAAAGAAAAGTGAGAGCTTCTTGTTTTTGTCAACTAAATAGAAACTTGTACGATGAATTTGTTGTACTATATATTGATATTCGAGATCTTTTCTTGTACATTATGTTGACATTGTAACTCTAGTTTTGAGAATAAAATTATACTCTAGTTTTGGAGTATAAAACTATTGTTGTGTGTATGGTGTTGGTTGGGTTTGATATTTCTACATTTGGTTGTGAAATGGCTGTGCTGATTACGTTGGTGTTGCTATTGATTTGGCGATGAAATGGTTTTTGAGATAGTAATATAATCGACAATGGTTTGGGCGACAATATATAACAATCAACAATGAACATGAATAATTATGATGTATAGTGGTACTACATATTTTTAGTAGACATAGGTTGTGGGCAAATCCAACATTTTAGGTTTATGACTCTAAACTTTACACTGATCACACATAAATTTATTGTATGTACCGCATGATAATAACTATCTTTATGTATGATGAATTCTAAAGATGGATGTAAAAGAAATACTCTCTCCGTTTCTTAAAACTCTTCCTCTTTCATTTTTTTTGTTTTTCTTAAAACACTTCTCTTTTCAATTAAAAAACCACTTTTACCCCTATTTTTTCATACTCTACCTATCACATCATACTTTTTCACTAACAACTAAACTATCACATCTTACTTTTACCCATCACATCAAGAGCAAAATTGGAAAGTCAACTACAATTTAACACTTCCTTATTTTCCCCCAAAGTCAAAAGAGAAACTCTTTTGAGAAACGGAGGGAGTAGTAGAGAAAGAAAGTTTATAGTAAGTAATATACTCCTTCCTTCCCTCATAGATCTTCCCAATAGCCCTTTTTCTTAGTTCACAATAGATCTTTTCATTTCATTTTTTAACAATCAAAATACCACAACTACCTTCACTTACTTTATTTATTACACCTCACCCACCTCATTTAATACATTCCACCCATTTTCATTAAAGGTATTATGGTAATCTTTCACCTTTTTTCAACTCTCCTTAAAAACCACCAAAAGTCAAAATGAGAACATTTTAGGGGGACGGAGGGAGTAATAAACACTCAAAATCTGATTCCTCCTTTTGTTGGACACAGGGGTCCATTTATACAACCAGACTATGGGTCAAGGCCCAAGTATCCTAGGTCCCGGCACACGAGGCTTATTAATTACACGAGGCATTATATTCCCCGTGGACCGAGTGTACCACGTACCCCAATGACGTGCTCATTCGCTCTAGACCGAGCCCAATAAAACAAGCCCAAGTGGTAGAGCCCAGATCACCATCAATGTATCTCTGCAAAGTTTGGGATATAGATAACTCCAAAGTATTTGGATTACTCTAGCTTTATTCTTCTTTCTTTTTCTTTTTTTTTTTTTAACATGAAGCATCTCCACATTCAATGGAAATAATTGAGATGAATATTTGAAATTTTGATCCAAAAAAAATTGAGATGACTATGATACTCTTCATCAGTGGAGCATTCATACTTCTTTTAAATATACATGCCAAAACCATCTAATTCTAGTTTACATACCTAAAATTATAAATTACTCATGTTTTTCATTATAGTACTCCCTAATTAACATTAATGTCAACATATATATCCTTCTTTGACTTTGACAATGGGGATAACATTGTTCATTGTTGAATGCAGAAGTTAAGTTTTCATCATATCCATATATGTTTCATGCTCTATTTGCTGGTATAAATATTGACTCTTCTTTGGATAAATTGGTATTCAAATTATGCACGCCAAAGATTTTCAGAAAATTCACAGTACAGCATGCATAAACTGGGTCAGCGGATGGGGTTAAGTTGGTCAGTACTGGATAAACTGATAAACGCCCAACCCTCACAACCCATATTTGGTTTTTAGAAAATTTTGGGAGATTGACTTGTTCTTCTCAATGTGGACCTTATTACTCCCTCCCTTCTTAAAAACACTTTCTCTTTCATTTTTTTTACTTCCAACAAAACACTTCCTCTTTCTATTAAAAAACCACTTTTACCCTTACTTTTTCATACTCTACCTATCGCATCATACTTTTTCTCTAATAATCTATCCATCGCATCTTACTTTTATCCATCACATCAAGGGCAAAATTGAAAGTCAACTATAATTTTACACTTCCTTATTTTGGCTCCAAGTCAAAGTAGGAACCTTTTTTGCAAACGGAGAGAGTATATTTTTTGGGGATTGGTAAATGGGTCTTTTATTTTTCATAAAAGATTTAAATAAAATTTTTTATGATACCAATGTGCTAAAGTCTACTATAAAATAATGATGAACCTTAAGATCATATAAGAACACATTACTTTGTA